GAGGAAGTGAAGAGATTTTTGGAGGGTCAGTATTACTTACATTAGTAGGGTCTACCTCATGTAGAGTGTCGTCATTCGATAATAATAATTCCCTTGCATGGGAATAGTCGTCGTTACTTCCTTTAGTAGAGTGCGTCAGTGCCGTTGAAAATTTGGAGGACTGTAAAATTTGCGAGCGGCCTCCCTAGTTTGCTGCAGTCGTTGTGTGCGTTCACTAAGTAGGAACGCGCGGTGTGAATTCAGGTCTGCCAAAGCGTCGGTGCGTGGAATTCCGAGTTCTTCGTGAACGTCCAGGAAAATTTCGCGTAAAAGGGCTGTTTCCGTTGGTAGTCCTTCTGCTGCCAGCATTAAAGTTGCACTAGTTTTAGTGATTCCGCGAATACATACTGAAGGTGGCTGGTCGTGCAAGTATGAAAGATAAGTCCGCACAATGTCCATAATTTTGGGGTCTCGCAGCCGTGCCTTCAAAAAGCGTCGGTCGCCAATTGCAGACTGTTCCGTGAGTCTGACTATAGGCGGACGCATTGGGTCCAGGATTGGAGGGTGTTCATGTCCGGTTGGTCTTTCGGCGCGATAAGGGTGAAAAGTTTCCCCTTTTTCGAAGTTAATGAATTTTAGTCCATTGTCTGTGCATGGTGGACGAGAAAATTGTATACGTGCAGCAGCCAAAAGCTCTTTGTCCAGAGGTAATGCCGTATGTGCATGTGTGGAGTTAATAAGTGTCGACGTTCTTATTCCATTGCTATGATTGTTGGTATTGCTGTTGTTGTTGTTGTTGTTGTTGTTGTTGTTGTTGTTGTTGTTGTTGTTGTTGTTGTTGTTGTTATTGTTGTTGTTGTTGTTGTTGTTGTTGTTGTTGTTGTTGTTGTTGTTGTTTTTGTTGTTGTTGTTGTTGTTGTTGTTGTTGTTGTTGTTGTTGTTGTTGTTGTTGTTGTTGTTGTTGTTGTTGTTGTTGTTGTTGTTGTTGTTGTTGTTGTTGTTGTTGTTGTTGTTGTTGTTGTTGTTGTTGTTGTTGTTGTTGGTGTTATTATTGCTGTTCTTGTTATTGTTGTAGTTGTCTGTTTTGTTCTTGTTATTGTACTGATATGAATTTTCCTGGTGATGTTCCTTTCGTTGCTTTCGCCTACGTCTGGCTTTTTCCTTTTCTTTTTCCTGAAGGCGACGGGAACGCTGTTTGGTGTCAAATGCAGTCCAGTCGCGTTTCCATATTTTTTTATTTCCTAGCATTCGCCAGCTGGGGGCTGGTTCGGCACCGACGTTCTGCAGTTCAATTTCTATGTTGTTACATGCAATTGGATTGCCAGTATGTGCTGCTTCAGAAAAGGTTTTTGCCATTTCTTCCATATGTGCTTTTACATTAGCATTTGAGTTCGCTAAGTCGTTCTTAATTTCCATAATTAATTGTGGAATTAGGTCAATTGAGTGCAATGTTGCTGTTGTTGTTGATGTGATGGCTTCTACTGCTGCTGTTGCTGCCGAGTTGACCGCCTTTTCTACAGCGATACAGGCGTCTGCTGGAGGTGTGTCCAAAAGTGCTGACAGTTTACTTTTTATTTCAGTGGAACTAGTCTTGCTGCTGCTGGCGAGGTTTGAAATGGCTTGTTTTACGTCGACAAGCATTTTCTCAATGTGGTCGAGCGTTTCGTCATGAGTCGCGCTTAGGCTTTTGAAATTCATGAGGAGTTTGTGGTTTGCTGCCAATGTACGTCCGATGTTTTCCGTGATATTTTGGAAAGACTTGGACAGTTCCTTCATGTTAAGTTCAGCGGTGAACTTTTCCTGACAGTCTTGGCAAAGAGGCAGCATGAAGGTCCGCAAAATTTCTTCATGATTCCGCTGTGCGCCTACGCAAGCTGCGTGGAAAGTCCGATTGCAGGCACCATGGCAGCGCCATAGGAAACGATTGTCATTTTGCACGCAATTCACGATACCGCACTTCATGGCACTCGCGTCGGGTGATAAAAAAAAAGTAAAAAATTGCTACTTGAAAATGCTAACGCGGGGCTCGCGCACGGGTCAGTTATTAAAAGGTATGAAAAATAAAATAAAGTTTGAATGGTAAAATATATACAAGAACGCTGTAGCGTAACCCGAACCTTTCGATTCGCGACGAGGCTCTGAAGGCAAAGTGTTCCACCTGGTTCGTTCAGCAAACCATGAAATGAGCTGGGCTTCGTGTATTCAAAGTCCGGAAGGCACCGAACCGGCGTGATCAACAAAACACGGCGGCCAAATCCCGCGCAAGGAAGCTGTATCGAGAGTGGTTAACGAAACCGATGTGTGTGGTTATGGATGACGAAACCTACATCACGGCAGACGCAAAGCAGATACCAGGGCTGGAGTTCTACGTTGCCAAATCACGGTTTGATGTTCCGGAAGACATAAGGAAGAAGAAAGTGAACAAATTCGCCAAAAAATACCGGTGGATAGATTTTGGGCCATAATGAAGGCCTTATGTATTAGTTCATTCCCTGAAAGTTTCAAGAAAATCCAACTTGAGATAAATTTTTGGCGAACACTTTTGTCTGGTGCATTTTTTTCGAGTACAGGCCTTACGTCTCCACACGTGGAACACATGGCCTAAAGTAAATAATTAATAAATTTTTCAACAAAAGTTGAATCGATGCGAGGTCTTGAACAAAGTTGTTCCGCATAGTTTGTTCAATTCATTTTACAGGTAGGGTCAATATTGAGTATTGTGAGAATATTTGTCAGATAAATTATTATCTTCTTCCCGTTTACCATACTTAATTTTAAATGTCGCAAATATCAATCGTTCAAATTTGGCACAGCTGATGAGGACCTCTATAGAAATAGATAGAATACTGGCGAACAAGGTTTTGTAATACACCATACAAACTTGACCCACCCTAGTGTGCATACTACTTCCAATTGATTGATTTGGTTCTACAGGAAACTCTATCGCCATTACCGATATTAGCAGGTCCCTAATCTCCGTTCCGATACGTGCTCCAGTGTGACAAATTTTCCGAGTGCGCAACATGTAAACATACATACCGAAACGGCATCGAACGATCCGATCGGTACATGCGATACTGGAATCTATGCGCACACGGTGCTCCGGTGACAATCTCTGGTAGTCTCCCTTCGAAAATGGGACCCCCAGATGGTGGTCTGAGAAAATAGAGGCATATCCCAGGCAGCAACATGGTAACAGCGGTGGCGGCGGCGAGGCAGCAATCGCACTAGTTCCCAGTCATTCGATATGCTCTCCCGCAGTTTAAAAGCCCAATAGAAGTAAACAGAGTCGTGAACAGCAACATGGTCGTCCCACCTCACTCGCTCGGTCCGGTGCAAAAAGGGAACTTTGTACGATTTAGAGTCACCACTGCCGCTGCCACCACCACGATAGATTCACACCACCAGATAGGGACCTGCCAGCCTCTGGGAAACATCGATAGTAAAGTACTGAAATTAATTGTAATTAACACGATCGGGTTCTATCGGTACACATAAATATGTATATTTTATTTTATTGTAAGCCTCCATCTCGCTTCTACTGGCAGTGGCTGCTGCAACACGGGTGACACATGCATGTTATTTCATTTATATAGGTTCTCGATTCGGACCGCGTCCTCCCTGATTATCTGATTACAAAACCAACTGGTGCGAGTGAGCTAGCCGGTTGCCTATGGTCGGTTGGTGGATCGGTTCTGTAGTTTATGTTTGCTGCTCAAGCTTTCAGCTCTCGTGGGTTCAAGTTTCGCTGCTTTTTTGCATACAAACTCACGTCCCCCGTTCTGTATCGTCTGTGCTTTGCTGCGCGGTAGTGGTTCTAGTGGAGATTTAATAGGAATCGATACATGCGGCACCGGAGGAGCAAGTAAGTTATAAGTTTGCGGTAATATATGTCTTCTTTCCCATAAGTTTATGGTTACTCGTGTGGAATGGAAAAGACAAACTGACAGGCAGCTTACTTCTCACCTTACCGACGATCGTTTAGTTCTAGCTTCCGTCGTAATTGGCCAGGACTGATGAGGATTTATATCGGTTCTGAGCGGAGATGCATCCAAGTGATCTTTCGTTTTCTGAGAAAGATGAAGTGCCGTTGAGGATAAATTTACCTTTGTCTGGTTCAACTTTTCGTTGGTGAAATCTGTGTGATAGTCAGAGTATTAGTGTATTTGGTTTCATTGTGGTTCTCTGGTGATTTTCAATTTTTTTTATTAGCCTCTGTTTTGCTTTATTTCTTATCCGAAGGACAACATCACCAGACATTTGTTACATCAGAAAATCCCAACGACCTAGACTGGGATTGAACCCAAACTTACTGAGGCGAGAATGCAGACACAAATCGGCACCGTCGACTCGCTGCCTATATCAATCAACAGTTTTATCAAATTATACTCAAATAACGAAACAGCATCGCTCCTTTTTTCATAAAGTAGGTATACTTCCCTCCCACAATGGTTGAGAGTCGTGAAAATACAAGAAAGCTCGTCTACAACGAACTCAAAATACGATTCTTATCACGGGTGGATAAAGTCTCCGGGTATGTTCCCATGTCCTTCCAGGCAACGCGTTCTTTCGTTCGTTCGTCCTTGCAGAGATCCGAACTGGTTGTTTCCCCAAACGAGATCTTTCACTTTACGATTAGGCATAGAAATAAATCCAAAAAAAGGAGACCTTCTATTCGATATCCCACTGATGGACCGCTACCGCTTTGATGTTCTCAGTCTTCCAAATCCAATCAATCAAATGCATCTTGATAAGTTTTTAATTTATTTTATTCTCCGGAGAGAGAATCAAACTCCTCCTCGTCCTCCGTGGCAAGCATCATGAGGTTTTATTAATCAAAAGCGAAGGCTCTCGTTTCGGATTTCATGCTCAATTGAATTCCCTTCGAGCCACACGGACCGCTGAGGCAAGGACCCCCCGTGGCAGTCCGCGTCCGCGTCAGTGCGAATTGACGGTAACTTAAATCTCTCTCTCACTTAGTCCTGATCGGTCGTCGGTCGGGTGGCGTGAAAGGCTTCCGCTTAATCCTGATCTGCCACCATCAGCACCACCTCCACCATCGGCTCCTTCTTCATCTCTTCGCCAATGACGCTGACGTCGTTCGAGCGTTGTTGGATGGCGCCGGAATCGTTGGTTCGTGTTCCGAAAACCGCCCCAGCATGAGTGCACATTCCGCCGCATCGCCAAAAAGTGTCGTGAACGCGATGATGAGGTGTTGGCCGCAGGCCGGTGCCAATTGCTGCGCCAAAAAGGCATAAATATGAAGTTATTAAAAAACAATATAGCGAAACATTATAATAAAATTTTAAACACATCATTTACATGCACCTTGCCGGTGAAGAATCGGTGAGTCACAGGTGAGATGGTGGGAGGAACAGAGGGAGATGGACACGCACTCTCGAGAGCACGTTGCAGAGGTGGTTGTCGCAGTCCGTTTCGGCCTGACTTGATGTTATTTTTGCCGATTGTTGTTGGCTAATTTGGAGATGGAACGGTGTCATAAAATGAGTTATAACAGAATATGAAATGCACACCTTTGCTGATACCGCATGTCTATAATTTAGAGTATTTTGGTCATTAATTTTGTGGCGTGAAGCTGATGGTACTGCCAAAATGCGTTTTATTGCCCTTGTTGGTTCTGTCTAAATTAACGTTTACTAGCTTTTAACAACATCAGATTAAAATTTATGACATTTCCAAATTTTCCAGGATGCAAGAATATTCTGAACTGTTCTTTGTTATGTTTTAAAGAGGAAACTTGCTGTCGTTTTTTAATGAAAACGCATATATTTATTGTTACGAGTAGATGAGCGGAATAAAAATTTATCATATTTTCTCGATTTTAAACAGTTTGCTTAATTTTCGATAATCGAATAATATAATCGAGTGACACCGAAGGCGTTTGCAGGGTTTACAGGTTTAAGCCTTAACAAGGGACTTGGCAGATCAACAAGTGGCAAACGTAGCTGAACGATCCACCTTAGAAAACTCCTTGCCAAAGAATGTGCTTCCTCCGTGCGCTGCCCAACATATAAATGTAGCCACAATAATCTTAGCGATTTGCTTCATTGAATAAAAATGTACATTTTTAGAGCACTTACAACTTTGTAGAACATTGAAAAATTTCAAAATTCAAGCTAAAAGTTATGGTAAAAAAAACAGTTTTTAAGGGGATGCTACCGTTTGTACTCCATTTTAACCCTATAACTTCGTCCACTTGAAGGATATAAAATTGACGTCTTCGACAAAGTTACTTTAAATAAATTCATCTACAATGTTTCCATAGATGTTCATCAATTTTAACAAGACATAAAATAGTTATTATTTATGTACTGTATTAAAGTACTCAAAAAATAAAGAAACATTTCAAAAGACATCAAAATACTACCACCAATAGTTTCGGTGCAAATAGCCATGTTCCACTATTTTTGATTGCATCCTACTGTGCACCGGGAACAGAATTAAAACCTTCAGTGTCTGTAATATTGTTTGGAACGTCTTGAATACCCATCGCAATTTTCTAGAACCACTACAAGGATTGTCCGATTGAAGCCTCCGAGGGTTTTTTTTTCCTGGTCGTGACAATGGTCTGTGGTTTGATTTTGTTCAGATTTCTGAAAATGTTCACGGTTTGGGTTTGACAGCTTCAAGATAGTCATCAATCATGGAATAAGCTTTTCAACTTTGATGTTGGAGTAAATATATGTAGTACCCGAGTTCGAAATATTTAATTTCTATAAAACATTTAAATAATTTTAAAGTTTAGAAACCAAATGCCTTCATGCCATCAAGTTTTGCAAGTTTAGCTATCGTCTCTTGCTGTTGGAATTTCAAAAATGCCTAAAATGGAACCAACGTCTCAAAATATGAGTTCTCAATGCTGTCAGAGAATGAATTAAACACAAACAGTACTAATCACACGATGTAAACGTCGTATATCTAAACTCATTTCTGTCGTAATGGTAATTTTTGACATCTGTGCAGGACTTGCCAAGACGTACGATTTCTCAATAACAAGATCAATCAGTGATTCAGTAAGGATTTGATTGTACCACGGTTAAAAATGTTTCTATGTAAAAAGCACGATAAAAACCTAAATTAAATGATGAGCGTTTTAGTAGAATAAATGTATACCTTCTTATGCTGATTTTCCCTTTAATTTTTCTATCATTTTAACGTTCATAAATTCACTGCCACTATTTACTTTCACTATCTCTTTAAAAAAATAAAGGGTCAAATTTGTTTCAACAACATGTTATGTATCCATTTATTGTCATGATGCAGAACATAACACATTGGGTGCCAGTGCTGCAGGTACTCCTGTAGTGGTAGAGCAAGAACTACGAGATTACCAAAAGTGGACAAAACACAAACATTGGAGGGCTAAGGTTCCAATAAATCCAACAAAACGAACTCCGAATGCCTTTGAAGCTTATATTTTGGATCCCCCCATTGGCCCCTTATATTGGAGTTGTTCTTATTCCTACTTTCCTCCTATCTATCATGCTCTTATTCTCCAACAGGTGCACCCGATATATGGAAAAAGAACTAGCTCACCGGACTCCATGATCACTGGCTACCGTTCTATTCCAAGTAGCATTGCAAGTTTTATCGAGGTTTTAAAGCATTCTACAAGTCCAAATCATAGTCTACCCTCATAAAACCTAAATTGTTACTTGGGCTACTTCGATGCTGCTCGCTGATGCTACACTCGCCTTCGACGTAGATCGCTGTCGCCATTCCAAAGTCGCACTTCCGTGTGCGTTCGGACCGTTCGCCCTCTCGGAAACGATAGTTCGCAATCCTGCTCTGCTGGGCATCTATGTCCAGCGAGTGATCATTTGACCTTAACCACCGCAAAAGTTCCCTGGCTGTGGCTTCGCAGTCGTTGCACGAATCCTCCGTCCCTCTCTGTCCGGTCGCACCTGATTCTCGGTTCGGTTCGGGAGAGTCCCACCTTGAACTTCGACCAGCTCGTTGTATCGTCACAAACCGCCCACAAACGCCCACGTTATTAGTTCACCGATCAAACGCTGAGTTGCAACAGGAGTCGATAAAGAAAAGAGCCCTATGAACCCAAACCAATTAGAAACTTTCTTATGGTAGTTTCACCAAAACGGCTCATCCTTCCGGGGCTCCTTTTTGTAGCGAATTTCCACGGAGATCTGAACGATGAGTCCAGTGTCTTCGTTTGGGCTAGGCCCTAGCTCGATTTCTGTCAAAGGATTTCAGTCATTGGATGCAATCTTCTCACATTTCGCCACAATTACGGCCGTTGGCACACCAGTGCGGTGGCGTGTGCTTCAAAGAGTTTGATTCCCGAACGTCTTGATTTTAAACACGATCAAACGAATGGTTTAGCGGGACCTGTCTTGGCTTCATCCTGGATTAATCTCTGTGGAAAGAATTCAGTTAATGGATGCGATTTGCTCCAAATTAATCACACTTACGGCTGCTGACCTACACGTGTGATTACGTGGGCTTCAAAACATTCGATTCCCGACCGTCTTGATCCCAACGGTGATCTGGCGAACGAGCGGTCTAGATGATCTGTCTTAACTTGTCCAACCTCGAACTTGTCCAACCTCGAACTTGTCCAACCTCGAACTTGTCCAACCTCGAACTTGTCCAACCTCGAAGAAAAGTCCAACCTCGGATGATTTCTTTCCTATCTTTCCCTGGGGGAGACTTTTCCACACGATGAGTAGCGGAAATGTCAGCAAGCTAATTTGCCACTTGATGTTGGTTTCAAGCCAGCGAGCAGAACTGAGCGATATATTTTGCTATAATATTCGTACGTTTTTTTCTTTTGTTCGGGACATAAAACTACTGTGACTAGTAGTTTGATCTATTGTAGTATATCCCGTGTCCTTAGTTCAGTGCATGTCGTATTACTTAATCACTATTGAGAAATGATGAAGTATTCGGTTTTGATACAGTTGTCATTCTTGCCTTCACCACAAGGAATCGATTCTAATTGAAAGGTCCCGCTATTTATACCCTTTGGAGTGTTGGAACATCCTCCAAAGGCGCGGCCCTTTGGCAGTCAAAATTGGATTCCTTAGCAGCAAAATTAAAGAATGACATCGATAATGACCATGCATCAGAACCCTAGTCTTAACCACTTCAAACTAGGGAACAACAAATAGAAAATTAGGAATCACATAGATGAAGACTGACTAACTCATTTTTTCCTTGTTTCAAGATCATTCTCGGTTCAGGCAACCCATGGACTTATCACTATCAACAAGGCATAAAAAGTAACAAGGACTAAGATGTGTTCCTTGGATTACTGAAAAATCCTGTTCCCTTAGTTTGAAGTAGACAAGACTAGGAATCGGTGGTAGATCTTACATCCCGTAACGTACCACAAAAATGTGATCTACCCACGTTACGGGGCATCTTCATACGTTAATTTAACTTGACTCATTTCTCTAAATGTATACTCGTAACATAATTTAAACATAACAACCAATTTCATTCCATTTTTTTTTTCTTACCAGCAGTAAAGAGGCAAATACAACAGCATTGAGCTTGAACAAAAAAAAACCATCGGATACAAACAAATAAAATACTCTAAATTCTCTTATAAGTTTGGCACTTCGCTATAGATTGTACTTGAAAAAAATGCAACACTTTCTTTTGTGTTTAACTTATAATTGCATGGGTAAAAATTTATAAAATTTTGAGTAAACTAGTTAAGAGTGTAATGTTTACATGTGAAAAATCTCACCAAAATCTGTCAAGTGGTTATCAAGATGGCTTGTAAGCAAGAAGTGCTTCGACAAAAAATATGGGAGCGGTTGTGGAAAATCTAGGCCAGTCCCACAGGTGGATCGCGAAACAGTTTGGAATCGAAAATTCAGCCGTGTTCCGTGTGGTGAAATCGTTCAAGGAGACCCAGACGATCCAGCGGCGAGCTGGCAGCGGAAGAAAAGCGAAGGTGACCGACCCCGTGAACGGAAGGAAGGTGAGGGATTACTTCTAGCGCAATCCGAGCATTTCGATTCGGGACGTGGCCAAGAAGGTCAATTCTTCCGTCTGGTTCTTCCATCAGACAATGAAGTGGGCCGGACTTCATGTTTTCAAGGTAAGAAAAGCGCCTAACTGAACCGATAAACAGAATACGGTGGCCAAATCCCGCGCCAGGAAGCTGTACCACGAGTGGTTGGTGCAGCCGAATTGCAGACGAGACGTACATTAAAGCGGAAGCCAAGCAGATCCCTGGCCTGCAGTTTT